CTCTGACCGCTGGCGCTGGCCCGGTGTGGGGAGTGAGTGACAGCGGGACGGGAGCTTCCTGCCCCCACCACAGCCCTGACAGCCCGGGGAGGGGCACCGAGGGGCTGGGGGAGGTGGGATTGTGTCCCCAGGGGAAGGAAAATCGGGATATGGGGCTGGTTCCCATGGGGAAAAGGACAAGGAGTTGTGGCAGGAGCTGTTGCCAGAGAAAAACCCCTCCTCACTCCCTGAAAATGGTGAAAATAAAAGATCAGGAGGTTGGTCCTGATATCTCTGAGAGGTGAGAATAAATAAAACATCATTGAAGGAGGAATAAAACATTGGGGATTCCGAAGATGAAAAGCCAGAGGTGTCTAAAAATAAACACAAATTGCTCAGTGGAGCTCCTGGCCCGGCTTTCCCAGACTGGTGCATGGTGCTGAGTAGTGCCTCAGTGAGAAGCCTTGGGGCCGCGCTTCTCCAACCCACTAATTAGGAGCTCTTTATTAGGCTGAGTAATTGTTAATGAATCACTGTTTCATCATCCCTGAGCAGCTTTACTCCTCTGCTGGGCACAAGCCAGCACACCTCAGGCACTGCAGGTCTGCCATGCCCTGCTGGGGCTCCTTTACCTGAGTGAAGGGAGCAGGGGAGAGAATTCAGGCAGAAAACTCTCCAGATCGCTGTTCCCCTGTTGGGAAGAACAAACCAAAGCAAACTGAGGTGGCACCCCCAGCAGCGCCTCTGTGCCGGCCCAGCTGAAGCCTCGCTGGCTGCTCCAGGGTGCACGGGCAGACTGGGAGCACTGGGAAGGGGCCCCGGCTCGGGGCGCAGCCCCCGGGGCAGCCCCACTGACCCGAACGAGAGCTCCAAGCCAGCTGGGATTGAAAGGAATGACAAGGGAGTGTCTTTATAAAGAAACTCTAAGTCTGCTGGTAAGGTAAGACCCATATTGTGAAACAGAAGAAACAATGGGAAGGGTTTCCATAGGAATTCTGCTGGCTGACTTACCAAGACTGTGTTAATAAACTACAAGAACAGAGACATAAGAAAAAGAAGAAATGGAGAATGTATACGAGAAGGGGGTTTGCATTGCGTGTTTTGGGGAGCCTGTACCGCTCAAGTACCTCAGCCGATGGGGAGAGAGAGAAGGAAATGTGGCTGGGAAATTGGGATAAAAAGGAGGCTGCATCCTCTAGCAATCTGAGAGATCTCATAGGAGATGCCCATGATCTCTCCCTTTATTCATGAATAAAGTTACAGGACTCCTCTGTCTTCTTTTTGGACACAAACCTCTGGTGCTTGTGGATTAACTTTCCTGACCGGATGGAACGTGGCAGGGAGAGCAGGGGAAGGGACAGAGCTGCCAGTGCCAAGGGGACACCAGGGACAACAGAGGCCTTGACAAGCATTTATTGCAAAAGTAACAAAATAATGCAGGAAATAAAAACAACAGCAACATTGGCACCATAAATACTGGTTAGGGTATCAAGGACATCTCACTGAATCCTCTGCAGCTGGGAAAGACCCACAACGATTGAGTCCAACCCTTAAGGAAATGGAACTTTGGGGTCAAATCCCTGCTTTGACATTATTGTCATCTGACCCCAACCAAGGTTACAATCCTATGGAAGCACCTCTTCTACATCTATATCCATATATAATCATATGCATTTCTATAAACCTATCTATCTATAGGGTTAGTGTATAAACACAAAATGCAAGAGAAAGCACTTGAGTTCTGGAATAGCTCCAGAAGAAGCAAGGAACCCCCAGCCCCAGCAGAAGCAGGCACACATCAGCTTCCACATCATCTCCTCTTTTCACAGATTCATTCCCCTGAGAGCAGGCACTAAGGTGACCCTGAGGGTCAGTGCAAGGCAGTCGGTACAGCCAAGGAAGGACATCCCCATGCTGGGCAAAGCTGAGACTGCCCAGCGCAGAGAAGGTGCTCAGTCCATCCCCTGTTACAGGTGAGTTTGGGGTCTGCTGCAGACATAGGGTATCGGATTTGAGCAGATCCCACACCCAAGGTAATTCTCAGCCAGGTACACACAGCCTGCATTGCCCCGGACCTCGACCCTGCAGGGAGGAGCAGAGACAGTGCTGGCACCGTGGGGGGACACCTTGTGCCCCTGTGCCCCCCAACCCCTGCCCTGCCCCCCAGGACTCACGAGGAGTTGAAGCTGCTGCCGTCCCCCCACTGCAGCTCCCGGCCCCGTCTGCGCAGCCCGAGCCAATAATCGACCCTGGCACTGTGAGGGAAGAGGAACTCCTGGGAAGGAGAGAGGAGCCGGCACTGGGAGCTGCACCCCCGGCCCAGGAGCGCCCCAGGCTCCCCTTGGCCACTCCAGAGCCCCAAAGCCCCTCACTCACCATTTCCCAATCCTGGAGCACGGCCAGGGAGGCCCCGAGCTCAGAGCACCGAGCCTGAGCCTGATCCCAGCTGAGCTGATCCCTCGAGAGGAAGTAGCAGATCCCGCGGTGCCCAACCCAGTCATGGGGACAGGCCAGCAGCAGAGGAATGTGAGGTGTAACTGGTGTAACTGGAATCTCTCCATAGCTTCTTACTGGACAGTGATGGGAGAAGGTCCAAGGATTCCCCTGTCAAGGAGCAGGGATCCCGATCCTCTCTCGGGGCTGGGCCGAGGCAGCTGCCCCTCCCTTACCTGACACAACAGCCAAGGACACACCCAAAGACAGGACCAGGAGCAGGAGCAGAATCAGCACGACCAGTGTGAGCACAGGATGGGATCTGATCCATTTAACTGGAGCTGGAAAAGCAGGAAAGAGTCACTGACCATGAAGATGGGGCTGTCCTGAGCAGACCCAGCCCTCCCATCCCCACACAACGCCCGGGGAGCACAGGAGGGACCCCCCAGCCCGTGAGCCCCTCACTCAGCTGCCAGCAGATAGACCAGGGACAGAGACAAAGTCAGGGCACAACCTGCAGCAGCAGAACTGCCCAGGGCTGGAGGTGTCAGTCCCAGCCACTGCTGGGGCCCAGCAGAGCAGGAGGTCCGTTCCAAACCACTGGGAACAGCCCCAGCCCTGCCAGCCCTGTCCTCTTGGTGTGACACTGTCCCCTCCTTACAGACCACAAAAGTGGCCCTGCACTCACCCAGGAATCCTTTGAGGGTTTGTTTCTGTTTATTCCTGGTTGCTGATCTGTTCTGAGGACCCAGGGACTCCTTCACACTCCCATTTCTGGCGCAGAACCTATTCTCCACATCTTCACCCACAGCACTCTCACAAGTGGCACCTTCGT